AATATGCAATACTTCTTCTAATGCAACCATGTCTGAAAAGTATAAAAGTCACCCTCCCCAACACTGCTAGTCTATGAAGAGGCAGGGACTGTGAAGAGTTTCAGAATTTTTAAATGCCGTTACAGCTCTAGGCATGCGCGCACACCCTTTTTTCTGTCAACATTAAAGGGAAGCTGGTGTCATTTGGACTAACGCCGGGGGCGGCAGGGGGCGCTCCACTCGCGCTCCGCCGAGTCGGTACTCAGATTTTTCGGTTACTAACTCCTCTGGACATCGGTTTCTCTGTCAGGCGGACTCTGTGAAGTGGGTAAGGGTGGGAGATTGCCATCGACATTCCCGCCCATACAGGGCTGTGGTGCTGTGTACTTGACAGGTCCCTGCATTCCTGCCAAGTCGACGTTTTTCGTTTATTGGTGAGGTTAAAATCCCATCGTTTGTGTTTTAAACATCTGTATTTCTTTGTGATTTTCCAGGTCATATTCTTTTCCATGTATGTTGAAAACATACTTCTCAATTTGTCTTTTGACTCTGATTATGGTGTTTGGTTCTGGTTTGGGCTTTCGGAAATAGAAAATTTTAAGTTTTTATGAGTCAAATATTTTTCCTTAAGGCATTTTGGGCTTTGTGCTGTGTTTTAAAGGGCTTTCCCCACTCTGAGATTATTTTTTAAATAAACTCCTGTTTTTCTGTGGTACTTGTAAAATGTTGGATACATCTGGAATTTATTTTCTTGTGGGGTGAGTTTGGAATCCAGCTTCGTTTGTTTCCCTAAATCATAGGCATTTCTAACACCATTGATCTTTCCATTGATTTGAAAAACCACCTTTGTCATATACTAAATTGTTGCATGCCTTTAGGTCCATTTCTGGAGTTTGGTAGCTTTGATGCACATACAATTTTTTTTTTTTTTTTTTTTTTTTTTTTTTTGAGACGGAGTTTCACTCTTGTTACCCAGACTGGAGTGCAATGGCACCATCTCAGCACACCGCAACCTCCACCTCCTGGGTTCAAGCAATTCTCCTGCCTCAGCCTCCCGAGTAGCTGGGACTACAGGCACCCACCACCATGCCCAGCTAATTTTTTGTATTTTTAGTAGAGACAGGGTTTCACTTTGTTGACCAGGACGGTCTCGATCTCTTGACCTCATGATCCACCTGCCTCGGTCTCCCAAAGTGTTGGGATTATAGGCGTGAGCCACCGCATCTGGCCTGCACGTACGATTTTGATTCATAAGCTGCAGATCTATGCATCTCTGTCCGTAATCTTTCTGCTTTTGGTATTTTGCTTAGAACAGCCCTTCCCACATAAAATAATAAGAATATACCTGTATTTTTATTAAAGGTCTTTTTAAATTTAATATAATTGTACATATTTATGGGGTACATGTGATATTTTGATACAATGTATAATCAAATCAGGGTAATTAGGATATCTGTCACCTCAAACATTTATCATTTTTTGTGTTGGAAACATTTCACATCTCTTCTGGTTGTTTTGAAATATACAATAAATTATTAACTGCAGTCACTTTACTGTGCTATCAAACACAGGAACTTATTCATTGTATCTGACTGTATGTTGTAATCATTAACCTACCTCTATTCATCTCACACCTCCCCCTCAACCCCACCTTTCCCATCCTCTGGTAACCATCATTCTACTTTCTACCTCCGTGAGACCAACTTTTTTAGTTCCCACATATGAGTGGAAACATGCAGTATTTGTCTTTCAGTACCTTGCTTATGTCAGTTAACATAATGACCTCCAGTTCCCTCCCTGTTGCTGCAAATGACTTTTTTTTTTTTTTTTTTTTGAGATGGAGGCTAGAAGTGGCGTGATCTCAGCTCACTGCAACCTCCACCTCCCAGATTCAAGCAGTTCTCCTGCCTCCTGAGTAGCTGGGATTACAAGTGTGCAGCACCGTGTCCAGCTAATTTATGTGTTTTTCGTAGAGATGGGGTTTCACCATGTCAGTCAGGCTGGTCTCGAACTCCTGACCTTGTGATCCACCCACTTTGGCCTCCCAAAGTGCTGGGAGTACAGATGTGAGCCACCACACCTGACCAACTTTCTTATTTTTATAGCTGAATCATATTACATTGTGTACATATACATTTTCATTATCCATTTATTTGATGTACATTTAGATTGATTCCATATCTTAGCTATTGTGAATATTGCCGCAGTCAACATGTATGTTCAGGTATCTCTTTGATATACTGACTTCCTTTCTTTTGGGTATATACCCAGCAGTGGAATTGCTGGATCATATGGTGGATCTATTTTTAGTTTTTTTTCATATGCCTGTTGGTCATATATGTTGTATGTCTTTTTTTGATAAATTATTCAGATCATTTACCTGTTTTTAAATCAGATTAGTTGTTTATTTCTATTAAATTGTTTCGCTCCCTTCTGTATTCTGGTTATTAATCCCTTGTTGGATGGATAGTTTGTAAATAGTTTCTCCCATTCTGTAAATTGTCTCTTCATTCTGCTAATTGTTTCCTTTCCTGTGCAGAAACCTTTTAGCTTGATGTAATCCCATTTGTCTAGTTTGCTTTTGTTGCCTGTGCTTTTGAGATCTAACCCAGAAAATGTTTTCCCAGACCAGCATCCGCAAGTGTTTCCCTGATGTTTTACCGTTTTCTTTATAGGGATCCTGTGCATTTCTAAGGTTTAATCTTGTTTCTTGTTGCTATTTGTTGAATAGATTTTTTTTCCCTTCATATTTTCTGACTAGGTGTTGCTGGTATATAAGAAAGCTATCAATTTTGGTTTTGGTTTTGTTGTTTTTTTGTTTTGTTTTGTTTTTCTTTCTTTTTTTTTTTTTTTTTTTTTTTTTGAGATGGAGTTTCGCTGTTGTTACCCAGACTGGAGTGCAATGGCATGATCTCAGCTCACCGCAACCTCCGCCTTCTGGGTTCAAGCAATTCTCCTGCCTCAGCCTCCCGAGTAGCTGGAACTACGGGCATGCACCACCATGCCCAGCTAATTTTTGTATTTTTAGTAGAGACGGGGTTTCACCTTGTTGACCAGGATGGTCTCGATCTCTTGACCTCGTGATCCACCCGCCTCGGCCTCCCAAAGTGCTGGGATTATAGGCGTGAGCCACCGCGCCCGGCCTTGTTTTTCATTTTTTGAGATGGAGTCTCTCTGTTCCCCTGGCTGGAGTGCAATGGCATGATCTTGGCTCACTGCAAACTCCACCTCCTGGGTTCAAGCAATTCTCATGCCTCAGCCTCCAGGGGAGCTGGGATTTACAGGCACATGCCACCACACCTGGCTAATTTTTATATTTTTAGTAGAGATGGGGTTTTACCATGTCGCCCAGGCTGGTCTTGAAGTCCTGACCTCAGGTGATGCACCCACGTTGGTCTCCCAAAGTGCTGGGATTACAGGCGTAAGCCACCACACTCAGCCAGAAAGCTATCAATTTGGATACATATTTCTGATCATTATTTCTGGAAAGGTTGCAAGTTAGGGTTAGTTTAGGTTGATTAGGTTAGATTAGGTCAACTTTTTTGCGTTGTGCTCACAGGTGGCTCAGAAGCCTCCTGTCTTGAACGTGCTTTCACCTTAGTAGGTAAGGGGCTTCTTGGTGATGAAGAGGGAGCAGTGCTTGTTAGCAGAAAGTTCAGGGAGTGAGGATGATGAGGTGCAAAAGAAGGCAGTGGTTCTGGAGGAGATCCTGGCAGCTCACCCCAGACCAGGAGACTCCAAATGTTCCTGAACCAATGTGTCACCACGTGCAAGGTCCTCTGGAATGACAGGCATATTGCTTTGTCACATTGAGACAGAAATTCCAAAAACAGTGATAGGAGTGTCTCACTGCCATGTGGCTTTTGATCACCTAAAGAAAACTGGAAAGCCAGTTGCTAACAACATTGATCTATGGTTTTTGTTTTGGATTATTCCCTAGGAATATTTTCAAATTTGAAATTCCTGAGTTTGAAAAATGAACTCTTCATGGTGCCACCTTTGTGACCAGTGGGTGGGTGGGATCATTGTTCATCCAGTGCCCTGAGTGGGTATTCTTTATATTGCCCAATGTTAGCTGTTGGCATGGCCTCAAGAGGGAGGTCCTCAAACTCCACTTCCAGTATTCTGGTGCGGTGATTTCTAGCCTGTCCCAGCCCCTGGCCCTGGAGCCTGGCATCTATAGAGGACTTGTCATGAGCCTGTCTTTTAATTTTTTAAAATCCTCCTTCCCTGCCTGAACTGTGCTTTTTGTTTTTTGTTTTTTGAACTGTGTTCTTATGGAGCAAAGATTGGAGTTGAGCCTCAGAATCCCTGGGATGAAGTAGGGATGGAGTGTGTTGTTAAAAGCTGGTTTCTGGCACCCCAGATAGTTCTGTGTATGCAAGGTTTAGGTTGAGGCCCATGGTGTTTGCTTGTCTTGGTCTCCTGTTGCAGGCTTGTTCCAGGAAACCGAAATCTTTATCTGCCATAGCATAAGTAAGGAAAAAATTTAAACTAGTTTATATCACTTTTAAAATGTATTTTGTTCATATATATGTTTTTAAATTTTTGTTTATTTGTTTATGTATTTTGTGAGGCAGGGTTTCATTCTGTTGCCCAGACTGGAGTGTAGTAGTGCAGTCACAGCTTACTGGAGCCCTGACCTCCTGGGCTCAAGCAATCCTCCCACCTCAGCCTCCAGAGTAGCTGGGACTATAGACCAGCTAATTTTTTTGTTGGTTTGTTTTTGTAGAGACAGGGTCTTGCTATATTGTCCAGGGTGGTCTTGAACTCCTGAGCTTAAGCGATTCTCCCACCTTGGCACTCTAAAGTACTGGGATTATAGGTGTGAGTCACCATGCCTGGCCCATTTTCTTCATTTTTTACCAGAATACAATCATACTTTGTGATGTGATTTTTTTTTTATTAGCAAGATGTGAAGGTCATCTTTCAGTTGAGACCTGATATAGCATTTTGTGTTTATGCTTTTCCAAGACTCTCCCTAGGTAGCACTCTTTCCCTTTCTTTTTTTTTTTTTTTTCTTTTTTTGAGACAGAGTCTCACTCTTTCGCCAGGCACAAGGCTGGAGTGCAGTGGCCCCATCTTGGCTCACTGCAACCTCTGCCTCCCAGGCAATTCTCCTGTCTCAGCCTCCCAGGTAGCTGGGACTACAGTCACGTGCCACCACACCCAGCTAATTTTTGTATTTTAGTAGAGGCAGGGTTTCACTATGTTGGCCAGGATGGTCTCAATCTCTTGACCTCGTGATCCACCCATCTCGGCCTCCCAAAGTGCTGGGATTACAGGTGTGAGTCACCACGCCCTGCCACAATCTTTCCTTTCACTTCTCCCTGCCACACACTTGTTAACAGACTGGTATTGATTGTCCTTTGGAATTTTTCCTCTGTGTGTTAATTTAATCAAATAGATAATACCTTATCCAGCAGCATCCACCTCTGAGCCAGGGCTGTTCTATGAGCTCTCCTCTCACCAACCACATGATCTCTAGGCCTTCAGAGGAGTGTGTCGTCTCCTGGATTTACAGGTATGGCCTCAGTGCAGCTGGCCGAAGTGAGGCCGGTGAACCAGTCCCAGGTGCCTGTGACACACATACCCTTTGTGGGCTTGGGGTCATAGTTTACAAAATGAAATTGTCCCCTGCATGCTGACCCCATGCTGCATTTTCACTCATCCATCTGGCGACCTGACACAGCACACGTTTCTTTTTAGCAGATGTGTCACTTGTATGTAGAAGGACCAATATGGCATTTGCCTCAGCAACATTTTTCAATCTGCACCCTCACCTACATCCATTCTTATAAGGCACTCACTTTCCAAGGGCCAATCTTATTTGCCTAAATACTGTTAGGTAACTTTCAGTATAAAATTGAGAAAGAGTATGAGAAACTCTACTTTCCCATGCCTGCCAGTGGCAAGTGTTGACTCCTTACTTGCTAATACAAATGGCACAGATGGAGGTGCTGGGCTGACAGACTGTGTTGGGAGCTGCTGCTCATTGCTCTTTATTAATTTATTCAACAGGCCAGGTGTGGTGGCTCAGGCCTGTAATCTTGACACTTTTGGAGGCCAAGGAGGGAGAATCCCTTGAGCCCAGGAGTTCAAGACCAGTTTGGGCAACATAGCAAGACCTCATCTCTACCAAAAAAAAAAAAATTAAATTATCCAGGCGTGGTGATGCATACCTGTAGTCCTAGCTACTTGGGAGGCTGAGTGGGAGGATCGCCTGAGCGCAGGAGTTGGAGGCTCCAGTGATCTGTGATTAAGCCACTGTACTCCAGCCTGGACTACAAATTGAGACCCTGTCTCTAAGAAATCAATTAATTAAAAGTTTTAAAAAGTACATTGCCTGGCAATTTTTAATCATTAGACTAGAAGTAATTGAAAAAAAAACAGTCAACCACTGGGTGGAGCCAGGGCTGCTTGTGATGGGTGGGGCAGAGGTCTTTGTGAGATGGATGGGGAGCACAGGTCACGGGATAAAGGGCTGCAGCGCTCTGAGGAAAATCACAAAGATTGGGGCAGGCTCATAGGAGCCATTGGGGTCCTGGGAGGACCTTGGAGCAGAGGACAGTAACTATTCTCAGGAAGGTAGATGGAGGGGCTGGGTTGACAGACTGTGTTGGGAGCTACTGAACATCTGGGAGTGGTGGTCATGGGGCAGGGAGGGCAAGATGGGCAACATGGTCAGGTTCTTGATGTGCTTAGAAGATGAATTAGAAATGAGGTATGACAGTGAAGAAGGAATGAGACGTACAGGTTCACAGACCAAGCTGAGGGCAGAAATGGTGGTAGAGGGGGTGCTCGGTTTGGGATGTTAAATGTCTGAGATGCTATGTGACACCCATATTGAAATGATGAGTCAGAGGGAAGGGGGATCACCAGCTCAAGTGTACCAAAAGAGCTACTGGGCTCAACTCAATTTTCAGACTCCCAGGACAACCATGCCTAGGAGCAGGTTCATGGAAAAGCTGACTAGCCTCATCCAGCAGGCATCCAGGGAGTACTCAGGTGCATAAACACAAGATGCAGGTAGGAGAAGGAGTTAGCCTGGTCTAAGGCCTTATGGTCACACAAGCCAACACCTCCTGTGTCAGAACTGGCTGCAAGATCTGCTTGGGAGGCCCTGAATCTAGTTCCTGTGGTTGTTCATCATTGACTCTCATCCCAGCCGTGGTTGGGCCATAGAGAGAATAACCATCCACCTCTGCCAGGTTTCCAGTGGACCAGAGTTGTGCATTTACCAAAGGTCAAATTCACAGGCAGGGCTAGGTGCAGTGACTCACACCTGCAATTCCAGCACTTTGGGAGGCCAAGGGGGGCAGATCACTTGAGCTCAGGAGTTCAAGACAGCCTGGGAAACGTGGTGAAACCCCATCTCTACCAAAAATACAAAAATTAACCGGGCATGGAGGCAGGTACCTGTAGTCCCAGCTACTCAGGAGGCTGAGGCAAGAGAATCGCTTAAACCTGGGAGGCAGAGGTTGCAGTGAGCCAAGATCACGTCGTTGCACTCCAGCCTGGGCAACAAGAGCAAAACTCTCTCTAAAAAAAAAAAAAAAAAAGAATTGCATTGCACTTACACAGAAATGTGCATGCACACACACATTTGGAGGGAATGGGCAGTTTTGGAGAATAGCAGCACAAGAGAGGGTTGCGAGCCTCTCTCCACCCATGTTTTGCTGTCCTGTTCTTCAGAGGCAGGCAGTTGATAGTTTATTGTGTATCTTCCTGAAAGTTGTTTATGCAAACATATACATATATCTGATGTGGGTTTTTATTTTGCATTGTTTTGTTTTTTGAGACAGTCTCACTCTGTTGCCCAGGCTGGAGTGTAGTGGCATGATCTTGGCGCACTGTAACCTCCGCCTCCTGAGTACAAGTGATTCTCCTGCCTTAGCCTCCTGAGTAGCTGGGATTACAGGCACCTGCCACCACACCCTGCTGATTTTGCATTTTCAGTAGAGACAGGGCTTCTCCATGTTGGCCAGGCTTGTCTCCAACTCCTGACCTCAGGTGATCCACCCGCCTCGGCCTCCCAAAGTGCTGGGATTACAGGCATGAGCCACCACACCCGGCCTATATCTGATGTTTTATAGACAATGGGATTGTGATGTCCCTTGACTCCTGCCCCCAGGCTCTTTCCTCTTGGCAGCCCTGACACCTATCGTGTCACTCTCGAAGTATCCTGTTTGTTGTGGTGCCCAACTGAGCCAAGCATGTGAGGGTGTTGGTTGCTTTCTTGTACCATGTTTTGCTGGAGTGTCTCTGCCTTCTGTCACCTGCTTGGTTTCTGGTCCCTGTCACAGACTCTTTGATGCTCCAAAGACTGTGAACCATGTCCCGTACAGGGACAAATGTGTCAGGAAAGCTCTTGCCCCTGCTCCCCTTTTTTCCCCAGCCATTTGGGTGTGTGTCAGACACTTTTGCTTACCTTGTCCTGTACATTCCAGCACTGGCCCGACTACTCCAAGCATTCCCTTCTCACTTAATGACAAGTCTTCCTTCAAGTGCTCAGACCAGATCCCTGGGCCACTGTTGACTCAGTTTGTCCAGAACTGACCACTTCTCATGCCTCCCCTTTGAATACCCTTGTTGAACCACAAGGTTGAGAGCCTCCACCACATCAGAGCACCAGGGCTGCCTAAGGGTGCGGTTGGGGGGAGTCTTATTGTCACCCTGGTGGCCAAGCCTTTCTTAATTGGGAGGGTGTTTGGGGAAGCAGCTTGCCCTGATGCCTATATCCCTCACGTGACCTGGGAACAGTCTGGTACTTGTGTGAGTGCCTCAGGTATAGAACACTCAGGGCCCTGGTGAGCTGGTATCCTTGTGCGTGGGGAGGACCATGAGCCATGACCAAGGTGCAGCAAGTGCCTTGCACCTGGTGTTCAGAGAGCCCAGTACTGTCTGGGCAGGACCAGGAACTATGTGTTCAGGGCCTGGACAGGCTTGGGGGAGGCAAGGCAGAGCAAGGCTGCAACAGTAGCAGCTCCTTGCACCTTACCTCAGTGTGCCCCCCATTGACTCTAAATGAGGCCCAGGGGTCCCCTGAGGGTCCCCCAGGAAGTTACAGTCTCAAGGTCATACCCCTCTCTTGTCCCTTCCTCAGCCCCACAGGCTCCTTCCATTTCTGTGATTCTCAGAGGCCCCAGGAGACCAGGTGATGGCAGCAGCCAGGCTCCTGCCAGTGCCTGCAGGACCCCAGGTAAGCTGTCCCCAATACCTGTGCAGTGCCCCCAGCCAGAGCCCTGTGGCTCCTTCCATGCCGCATAGCTCCTGAGAGCAGCCAGAGCATCACTGCATTCCCTGAACTCTATGGCACCTTCCCATTACCTACCTCAGCTCACAGAGCCCCCCATTGCCAACTGCTCATGTCACATGCACCCACTCCCTGTCACAGAGGTCAGGATTTGATCTTACCTGCAGCAGCCCCTGTCATTTCAGGCCAAGTTAACCTTCGAGGATGTGGCTGTGCTCCTCTCCCAGGATGAATGGGACCGGCTGGGCCCTGCTCAGAGGGGCCTGTACAGAAATGTGATGATGGAAACCTATGGGAATGTAGTCTCATTGGGTAAGGCCCCTTAGCAGGCCTTGTCTGTGTATCTATCTGTGTGTTGGACTAGGGTGGGGGCTTCCCAGGGTAGGGAGCCTGGGGCAGGCTGGTCCTGGAGGTTTGCTCTCATCACCTCTGTGGGTGCTCAGCTCCAGCAGAACGTCAGTCCTGTCCATTTTCATGTCCCCACAAGTGGCTTGGGCGGGGGGCGTTGGGGGGGCTCTGTAAATGTTGTATAAACAAAGACTTCCCTCTCCATGAGCAGGACTTCCAATATCAAAGCCTGACTTAATCTCCCAGCTGGAGCGAGGGGAAGATCCCTGGGTCCTGGACGGGAAGGGGGCTAAGGAGAGCCAGGGCCTGTGGAGCGGCCACTCAGGTGAGTAAGGAGAACTGTCCCCTCCTTCACTGAGGTCTAAACAGATCCTCAGCACAGCTGTGGACCTAGTTCAGACTGAGCCACTGCCTGCTCAGTGGCTTCCACCTGGGGTAAAACCTGTCCAGCCTTATCTGGCAAAGGAGTCTGTGGGCTGGGGGTTGCTGAGTCAGGCAGTATAGTCCATGGCCAGAAGTGAGCATAGCAGTGAAGTTAAACAAGCTGTTGTGCAGAGCCATATAGGGGAAATTAAGGCATGGCTGCAGTGATGCTGTCCCTGACCAGAGGGACTGGTTAACCAGATTTGGTCCTAATGGGACATTCAGGTTTTGAGAGTTACCTGATGATTTAGCAAAGAACAAAGCACCCTAAATGTAGAAAGGAAGTGTCTCAGCCTGCCACTCAAGGTGAATGTTGAAAGCACAGCACACTGTTTCATCTCAAGAACAAGACAAAGGAGCCCGCATCCCCACATCCATATAACATTGTACTGGGCATCCCATGTATAAAATAACGCGAAACCAAAGCTATAAGAATTGGAAAGAAAAAGCATTGTTTTCAGTTTATGTGATTGTCAACTTGGAAAATGATTAAAATTTACAAGGGAAATTACTAGTTCGGCTGGATATAATTTTTGTTTTGTTTTGTTTTATTTGGAGATGGTCTTGCTCTGTCACCCAGGCTGGAGTGCAGTGGCACCAGTTCTTGGCTCAGTGCAATCTCTGCTTCCTGGGTTCAAGCATTTCTTATGCCTCAGCTTCTCGAGTAGCTGGGATTACAGGACTGTGCCACCAAAGAACCTCCTACTTCAGTAAGGTGACAGTAAGTCTTAGGAAAATCCCAGTCAGCCTATCCTACCATAATGTGCCCCACTTGGGGTGAGTAGGGACAGTTGGGCAAAACCTCCATTGGCTGATCAACTTCAGCATTTCAGGTGTGGTGGGTTTCTCCTTGAAAGCTGCTCCTTATTTCTAGAGTTTAAGTGAATAGGGTACCAGGTGTTACAGTCTACCTCTTACTGGCCTGAAAAATCTGATATCCTCAGAGGAACAAGGTACATGCCAGCCTTAGAGGAATGTAATTTTCCAGTGACTATAAACAAGAAGACATATCATCATGTCTTGGAAATCATGCATAGAACTTCTGCATGCTAACTGCAGTAGGAGGCAGGGCATTTGCCGCCACTGCCAACCAATCCTGGGCTCCCTGGTATCTAGCTGTGTACTCGCCTGATGTGGAGAGCTTAAATTCCCTTTCAGTGCCCTTTGAATTTGATACCACAAAGACTCTGAAATTCTCTGGGAGCATGGTTGGAGATGAGAAGTTTATCTGCAGAAGCACCTGGTCACCTCACCGCTGGCACAGGTCACAGAGGACAATGGGACTGAGTGAGTTTTAGATTACTGATGTGCATAGAAGCAGAAGCCATCTGCCACAATCTGGGTCACTGCCACTGGCATCAGAGCCAGTGAGGAGTAGAATATGCCTTTGTCTTGTCCTGGCAGTTCCTCAGGATGGATAAGTGTGTGCACCTCCCCAGCCCTGCCCCTGCTATTTTTAACTCAGTAAATTGTGCTTACATGTTATAACAGCAATGAAAGGATTTTCCAGTCTTTTTTTTCTTTTTCTTTTTCTTTTTCTGAGAGACGGAGTCTCACTCTGTCTCCCAGGCTGGAGTGTAATGGCATGATCTTGGCTCACTGCAATGTTCACTTCCCAGGTTCAAGTGATTCTCCTACCTCAACTTCCCAGGCAACTGGGACTACAGGCATGCACCATCACATCCAGCTAATTTTTAAATTTTTTTGTAGAGAGAGGGTTTCACTGTATGTTGGCCAGGCTGGTCTCAAACTCTTGACCTCAAGTGATCCACCCACATTGGCCTCTGAAAGTGCTGCGATTGCTGGCATGAGCCACTGCGCCCAGCCAGGATTTTCCACTCTTGAAGGGAGTATTTTATTGTCACTTCAACTCACTGTTTTTTTTCCAGACAATCTCAAATGGGACCACACTACAGCCTGTATGCAACAAGACAGTTTATCTTGTCCATGGGGTAAGTGTATGCCTGATCTTTTTAATTCAGTACAATCTCTGAAGGAGTTAATGCTAATGTTTTATGAGAAGGTAGAGACTACTCAGGGTGCTATGAAGCTTGTTATACAACTCACACAATTGCTACAAAACACCAGGGAGGGTTTTTTTGTGTTTTTTCATTTTCAAAATTTTTTTTCTTCTCTTGTGAGCCATAGTAGGCCTAGATTTTTCAATTAAAAATTTATTTCAGTGAAATTAATTTTTTAATTAAAATTTATTTCTTTTTATTTGTTTTGTCATGCTTAAAACATACTTCCCTACTCTATACTTAAAACATACTTCCCTACACTATACTTAAAACAACAATTGAAACCATCATTCTAAAAGCAAGTGACACTTGGCTGAAGTCCAGCTTCTGCACAGGATGGATGCAGGGTGCAGGTAAGTGTGGCTGTACCTGGCCTTCACAGCAACCAAGTCTGTCCCACACAGTCACATGATGCTTTCATGCCATGGATGATTGAGCAAGTAATCTCATACAGTTTAGTGTGTGTGTGTGTGTGTGTGTGTGTGTGTATTTTTCTTCTTTTTTAGAGAGAGAATCTCGCTCTGTTGCCCAGGCTAGAATGCATTGTGGAGACGTGGTCTTGCTATGTTGCCCAAGCTGGTCTCAAACTCCTGGCCTCAAGCAACTCTCCTGCCTCAGCCTCCCAATAGGCTGGGATTACAGGCATGAGCCACTGTGCCTGGCCTGTTTTTTTTTATTATTAAAGACATCTTTCCATCTTGTTACTTTGGCATCAGATCAGAAGCCACCCATTCAGGAATTTTTTTTTTCTTTAGACAGGCTCTCACTCTGTTGCCAAGGCCAGAGTACAGTGGCATGATCACAGCCTACTGCAGTCTCAACCCCCTGTGCTCAAGCATTCCTCCCACCCCAGCTTCCCAAGTAGCTATAACCATAGGTGTGCACCACCATGCCCCGCTGATTTTTGTAGAAACAAGGTTTCAACATGTTGCACAAGGTGGTCTCAAACTCCTGGGCTGAAGTGATCCACCTGTCTTGCCCTCTCAAAGTGCTGGGATTACAGACATGAGCCACCATGCCTGGTGAAACTTTAAACGATAGAAATAATACTCTTCAGTGCAAATGAGTAACTGTTTCTTCAGCCTACAGGCTTTTATTCTGTGAAGATGAGGCTTATACATTAAAAAAAAGAAAGAAAGAACTAAAACTTATTTCTATCAGTTTAAAACATACATAGCCAGCCTAGGCAAGATAGTGAGACCAAACACTACAAAATAAAATTTAAAATTAGCCAGACATGGTTGTGCATTCCTGTAGTCCCAGCTATATGGAGGCTGAGATGGGAGGATTGCTTGAGCCTAGGAGGTTGAGGTTGTAGTAAGCATCACTGTATTCCAGCCTAGGTGACGGAGACCTGTCCAAAAAAAACCCCACAGAATAACTTTCTAAAATGAGACATGTTAAAAATTATATTAAACTAGGCCGAGTGCAGTGGCTCACACCTGCACTCCAGCACTTTGGGAGGCCGAGGCAGGTGGATCACCTGAGGTCAGGGATTCGAAACCAATCTGGCCAACATGGTGAAACCCTGTCTCTACTAAAAATACATAAAATTAGCCAGGCATGGCGCATGCCTGTAATCCCAGCTACTTGGGAGGCTGAGGCAGGAGAAATGCTTGAACCTAGGAGGCAGAGGTTGCAGTCATTATTCATCAGTAAAGTGGAAATCAAAACCACTATACCATGTTACACCTTCGAAATGGAAAAACTGGAAAGATCTGACAATATCAAATGTGAGTGAGGATGTAGGTCAGCTAATAGGGATGTAAATTCACATGACCACTTTGGAAAAATTTGTCATCATCCAATGAAATTGAAAACATGGTTACATTCTGAGAGAATGGAGGTAAAAAACTAAATAAAAAATGAAATTGAAAACATGAATTCCTATGTTCACCACTTCCCACTCCTGCATATTTATACAGCAAGGGCATTTGTGTGTAAGCACCAGGAATCATAGGAGAATCTTCACAGAAGCATGTTTCATGATTTTAAAAAACATTTGAAAATAATTCAGGGCTGGGTACAGTGGCTCACGCCTGTAATCCCAGCACTTTGGGAGGCTGAGGCAGGTGGATCACAAGATCAGGAGTTTGAGACCATCCTGGGCAACATGGTGAAACCCTGTCTCTACTAAAGATACAAAAAATTAGCTGGGCATGGTGGCGCATGCCTGTAATCCCAGCTACTCGGGAGGCTGAGGCAGGAGAATCACTTCAACCTGCGAGGCAGAGATTGCAGTGAGCCAAGGTTGCGCCATTGCACTCCAGCCTGAGCAACAAAGCGAGCCTCCATCTCAAAGAAAATTCAAAAAATAAATAAAGTAAATAAAAAATTAATAAAATTCAAATGTTCATAAACAGAATAGACTAGACATAAACTGTGGCATTTTAATGTAATGGAAATACTGCAGTGAAGATGATTGAATAACTGCTACACAGCAACATGATGGAGCTCAAAAACATAATGCTGAGGGTGAAAACAAGTTCCAGAAGACTGTGCTCCATGAAACTATAGAAAGCTCAGAAACATGCATAACTAAATAAAACGATGTTTAAACCTAGGCGCAATGGCTCACACCTGTAATCCCAGCACTCTGAGAGGCCAAGACGGGAGGATCACTTGAGCCCAGGAGCTTGAGGCTGCAGTGAGCTACGATAGTAGCCACTGCACTGCAGCTTGGGTGACAGCACAAGACCATCCAAAAAGAAAACAATCACTATTGTCCTCAGCACCTCTCACCTACCACCCACTCACACACAATCAGCTTGCAGAGCACTTGACTCGGCTCCCAGAAAGGTCTTCACCCCAGTCTTTCCTGCCATCTGTGCTGCTGCTCCTGCAGGCCTCATCTCTGGCCAAAACTTGGCAGCAGATTCCCATCATGTCCCTCTGCGCCTCCAGTCTTATTCTTCCCGCCCCTCCTCCTGCCAGGGCATTCTCCATGTGAAATTATCTTCCACAGGGCCAAGTGCGGTGGTTCACGCCTGTAATCCCAGCACTTTGGGAGACTGAAGTGGGTGAATCATTTGAGGTCAAGAGTTCAAGACCAGCCTGGCCAACATGGCAAAATGCTATCTCTACTAAAAATACAGCCGGGCGTGGTGGCATGCCACTGTAATCCCACTCAGGAGGCTCAGACACAAGAATCGCTTGAACCCGGGAGGTGGAGGTTGCAGTGAGCTGAGACTGTTCCACTGTGCTCCACCCTGGTGACAGAGTAAAAGACTCTGTCTCAAAAAAAAAAAAGGGCAAATACAAGTCTTTTGGCCTCCAGATGGCACCCCCATCACCGACTTGCTCACAAGAGCTCATACCTCTTCCTGCCTGCCCATGTGCCACTGTCTACCCCACAGAACACCCACGTTGTGGTGTAGGCCTGCATGTAAGCTCTGTCCATATGAGGACTCTAGGGAGGGCAGGGCTCAGGCAGCACTGGGCTGTGTCTCAGCTGTTCTGTGCATTCCACACAGGGGTGTGACCTCAAACTGGAGTTTACACCTTTCTCTTAAACCTCACTATTCGTCTTGGCACATTCCTGTTTGGAAACATTATCTTCTGATTTCTAGCTGTTTGACACAGTTAATGGTGGTTCTGTTCCTCTCTAGCTCACACAGCCATGTGCATTGAGAGACTGCACCTTCATCAGCAAGGCCAGTTTCAGGGTTGCACTTGCTTTTCAGTTTTGAGTAGTGTTAACATTTTCATTTTGGATTTGTTCTTTCAGAATATGAAACTAAGCGAGAGAATCAAAATACAGACTTGAGTTTGAAGCCATTAATTTCAGAGGAAACAGTGATTCTGGGGAAAACACCCTTGGGGAGGATTGATCAAGAAAATAATGAAACAAAGCGAAGCTTCTGTCTAAATCCAAATTCTGTTGACCACCCTGAAATTCAGGTCTTAAGCCAAAGCATGCCACTCACTCCACACCAGGCAGTGCCTACTGGAGAGAGGCCCTACATGTGTGTCGAGTGTGGGAAGTGCTTTGGCCGGAGTTCCCACCTCCTTCAGCATCAGCGTATTCACACTGGAGAGAAGCCCTATGTGTGCAGTGTATGTGGGAAGGCCTTCAGCCAGAGCTCAGTCCTTAGTAAACACAGAAGAATTCACACAGGTGAGAAGCCCTATGAGTGTAACGAGTGTGGAAAAGCCTTTAGAGTGAGCTCAGATCTTGCTCAGCATCACAAGATACACACGGGAGAGAAGCCTCATGAATGTCTTGAGTGTCGGAAAGCCTTCACTCAACTCTCACATCTCATTCAGCACCAGCGGATCCACACAGGAGAAAGGCCATATGTGTGTCCATTGTGTGGGAAAGCCTTCAACCATAGCACTGTCCTGCGGAGCCACCAGAGGGTACACACTGGGGAGAAGCCTCACAGGTGCAATGAGTGTGGGAAAACTTTCAGTGTGAAGAGGACACTGCTGCAGCACCAGAGGATCCACACTGGGGAGAAGCCCTACACGTGCAGTGAGTGTGGGAAGGCCTTCAGTGACCGCTCAGTCCTCATTCAGCACCACAACGTGCACACTGGGGAGAAGCCCTATGAGTGCAGCGAGTGTGGGAAGACCTTCAGCCACCGCTCTACGCTGATGAATCACGAGCGGATCCACACTGAGGAAAAACCCTATGCATGCTACGAATGTGGGAAGGCCTTCGTTCAGCACTCACACCTGATCCAGCACCAGAGAGTCCACACTGGGGAGAAACCCTATGTGTGTGGTGAGTGCGGGCATGCCTTCAGTGCACGTCGGTCTCTGATCCAGCATGAGAGAATCCACACTGGTGAAAAGCCTTTCCAGTGCACAGAATGTGGCAAAGCCTTCAGCCTAAAAGCAACTCTGATTGTGCACCTGAGGACCCACACGGGTGAGAAGCCCTATGAGTGCAATAGCTGTGGGAAAGCCTTCAGCCAGTACTCAGTGCTCATCCAGCACCAGCGGATCCACACAGGTGAGAAGCCCTACGAGTGCGGGGAGTGTGGGCGTGCCTTCAACCAGCACGGCCACCTAATCCAGCACCAGAAAGTGCACAAGAAGTTGTGACCTGTGGCTGATACAAGAATCCATCACACAGAAACTGCACATGGAACCACAAGCAGCCTTCAGCCGAAAAGAAGTTTCTGTTAACTCTATAGGAATCCTTTCTTTGGTAATTCAGTGTCACAAAATAACTCTGAAAAGAAGCACTTGGCATGATGTTCCCATGGAAAAATTTCAGACTACCTGTTTCTATTTTCCTCACCATCTTGAGGTTATATTGGAGAGTAATAATGGAATTGTAGTGAATTTGGTAAAAACAGCCACAATTCTTTCTCTGACATTAGTTTATTTGAACTAAGGGAATTTAAGGCATAAGAAATATTGTCCCGATAAAATCTTCCTTACATTCCAAATAAAGTTCTTTTTCTAAGAACATTACATGCCCTTCATAAATATCAATTAACCATACTGATTATTGCACTTAAAATTAGAAAATTTAACATTTTCAGTATTAAAACACTAAAGTGCTATATGGATAAAGTGATACAAAAAGATATTTTCTTCAAATATGTAAAATAGATGGAAATCCCAAGTGTGTGAACACCTGTTTTGTATAAAACAAGGAAAAGTCTAATGATATATGAGTGAGAAATTATGTAAATTTAGAAAACCTTGTGTTGTTTTTTTTTTTTTGGAGACAGAGCTTTGCTCTGTTGCCCAGGCTGGAGTGCAGTGGCATGATCTCAGCTCACTGCAGCCTCCACCTCCCAGGTTCAAGCAATTCTTGTGCCTTAGCCTCCCAGGTAGCTGGGATTACAGGTATGCACCACCACCACGCCTGGCTAGTTTTTGTATTTTAGTAGAGACGGAGTTTCATCATGTTGGCCAGGCTCGTCTCGAACTCCTGGCCTCAAGTGATCTGTCCACCTTGGCCTCCCAAAGTGTTGAATTACAGGTGTGAGACACCATGCCTGGCCTAGAAAACCCTTTATCTGGTGCTTTATTCAAAATCAGAAGGGGTATCCTAACTTTTTAGTAAAAATTCAATTCAAAAATGTGTATGTTCCTCAAAACCTGCACTTATGATCTGCAGACCCTGTGCCCCAGAAACCATGGGATGTCTCAATTCCTATGCAAGCATGGGAAGGGAGCTTCACTCTCAGTGCAGATCTCATAGCTGTTACACCAAGAACCTCTTTATATCTTATGGTATCCCCCCCGCAAAAGAAATGCTGAAAAGACTTCTTTGGTACATATATTTAAAACATGAGTTTCTCAAATTCAGGTAGCTCTGTTTTGCTATCTCTAATATTTCTATTCTTTTATTTGAAGGATTTGTTTCTTTTTTTTACTCCCGGTTCAAGAGTAGTATTCATTGCCATATTTCTGTGATGAAGATGAATCTGGTTTATTCATAATTAAAATGTTATATTAGTTGAGAATTATTTGTTCTAAAGATACAGTTCTTAAAAGTGAATTTGTGTCAGAACCATTTCTGGTAGCAACTAACTACAAAGGAAACAAATGTATGAGATTTAAGCCACTTCAAATTCTCCTCAATGTGTTAAGTGCCTGAGATAGAGAAGGGCTGTCTTCACCCCTGACCCCCACCCCCAACATCTGTTAGCTTAATAGGGAGGAAATAGGGGCACTAGGACATTGATCCTTTTGTTGTTGTTTCAAAGATGGTCTTGCTCTGTCACCAGGCTGGAGTGCAGTGGTGCCATCGTGGCTTACTGGTGCCTCAAACTCCTGGGCTGAAGCATTCCTCCCACAGCTTCCCAAAGGGCTTAAGATTATAGGCATGAGCTGCTGCGCCCATCCAGGCATTGATTCTTAAGTCCACAGCACAACACCATAATGTAGACAAAAGCTTGTAGAGGAACTTGAGAAAGGAGCTGACATTGCTGGTGTTTTACTCCAGAGCAACTGAAACCACTGAAGTGAAATTCCAGAGAAACTAAAATGACTGAGGTGTTACTTCAGAGGAACTGAGATCACTGAAGTAAAACTCAGCTCAAGTAACCAAGGTGTTAACTTTAGAGGCGTTATTGATTCCATGAGGTGTTGCTTCAGATAGGACATGACATAGCTAAGGTGTTACTTCAGAGAAGACAAGAGCTTGTTACTTTGGAGAAGAGCTGAGATCACTGAGGTGTCAAGCAAGAAGATGAGACAATTAGTGTTATTTCAGAGGGTCTGAGTACACTGAGGTATCTCCTCAGAGAGGAGGTGAGATCACTGTGTTACTTCTGAAAGGAACTGACATCACTAATGATTAGAGTAGTTCTGACAACTGAGGTTTACTTCAGAGTAGCTGAAATAACTGAAATGGGATCACTAAGGTATGACTTTAGAGATTAGGTCGTTGTAATTCTTCTAAGAAGTTGAAATCACTAAAGTGAAACTCCAGAAGAATGGAGGTAACAGTGCTATTTCATAAAGGAAGTGAAATGTCTATATTGTACCATCAGAAAGATGAGAATGCTGAGGTGTTACTTAGGAGCTGAGATCACAGGTTCTGCTTCAAAAAAGCTGAAATCAATGAGGTGTCACTTAAGGGAGGAGCTGAGATTACCGAGATGTTATTCAGGACCAAGATAATATCACTCAGGTGTTAGACGCTGAGATCACAGAGATGTTACTTAAGAGAGGCTGAGATCACTGATGTGATTCTTCAGAAAGTAAATGAGATTACTAAGGTGTTACTTTAGAAAGGAGATGAAATAACTGAGTTGTTCGCTGGAGTTGAGATCACACAGGTGTTATATCAGAGGTGGCTGAAACACTAAGATGATTCTTCAACAAAAGGTTAAGATCACTATGGGTGATGCTTTAGAAAGAGGTTACTTTAGGGAAAAGTTATGATCACTGAGATGTTACATCAGATGGAGCTGAGATCACTGATGTTAATAGTCAAAGAGGAACAAGATTACCAAGGTGTTACTTTGGAGCCAAGAGGAGATCACTCAGGTAGCTAGATAAGATCATTGAGGTAAGTCCAGAAACCTGAGATCACCTCGGTGTTAATTTAGAGAGAAAGTGAGACCACTGTGATGCTATCTTAAATCTTCTATAGGCCAGACCCGATGGCTCACACCTGTAATCCCAGCACCTTGGGAGGCTGAGGTGAACAGATCACAAGGTCAAGAGTTTGAAACCAGCCTGGCCAACATGGTGAAACCCCATTTCTACTAAAAATACAAAAACTAGTGGGGGGTGGTGGTGGGTGCCTGTAATCCCAGCTACTCGGGAGGCTGAGGCAGGAGAATCCCTGGAACCCAGGAGGCAGATGTTGCAGGGAGCTGCGATTGTGCCATTTACACTCTAGCCTGGGCAACAAAAGCAAGACCATCTCAAAAAAAAAAAAAAATCTGAAGGGAAGCTGCCACCCTTGCTAGTTGAGTGCGCAGCTGGCATGTGACTCAGTGGCAGCTGCTCAGTGCCCACGACTATTCAGGCCCCAATTTCTAATTGTTAAAGACAGTGATATTCCATTTAAGATGAGAACAATTCAATATACAGGAATATTTGTTTAGAAAGACTGTATCACAGGACAAGTTACACAGTACAAGTTATTCTGGATTCCAATACCCTAGGGTTTTCAGGGAAATCCTTCCAAAAAGTATAGTTTGTTTTCCTGCCTTCTTAAAGTGAGCTTAATATCATTCTGCCTGTTCTTTCTGTGTCAGGCTGCCACTGATCCACTGGTGAGAATGCAGGCTCAGGTGTCCATGGAACCAGGAAGTGGGCTTCAATGCCCTTCTTTCTGAGGATTCCAAGGCTATGTATTCTTGCCACTCACCGCCTCCTCTCCAAGGAGAAGGAGGTGGCACAAGACCTACTGGAACATTCTTTTTTTGGATATAACATCAAAGGCCAGAACCCCTTTCATGCTAATAACAGCCTTCTCAATCATTATCTTTTGTCTCTGATTTGTCAGCAGCATTCCACCTTTATTTTGGATTTTTTTGTTTTATTCAGAAGTCTGTATATTTTAGGTATTTAAATACTTCTCTTTGGCTGGGTGCAATGGCTCACACCTGTAATCCCAGCACTTTGGGAAGCTGAGGTGGACGGATCACTTGAGCCCAGGACTTTGAGATCAGCCAGACCAACACAGCAAAACCCTTCTCTACAAAAAGAAAAAAAAAAAAAAAGCCCACAAAAATTAGCTGGGTATAGTGGCTTGCACATGTTGTTCCAGATATGCAGGAGGCTAAGGTGGAAGGATCGATTGAAGGAGTTCAAGACTGTAGTGAGCTGTGATCATACAGCTGCACTGTAGCCTGGGCAACAGAGCAAAACCTCATCACAAAAAAATGCACGTATATTTCAATACTAAGAATTTGAAACTTGGTTCTGTTTTGGAAAATATTTTAGTCCGCCTGGAATTTATTTCTGTGTATAATCTGACACTTTTTTTTTTTTTTTTTTTTTTTTGAGACGGAGTTTCACTCTTGTTCGCTCTTGTTACCCAGGCTGGAGTGCAATGGCACCATCTCGGCTCACCGCAACCTCTGCCTCCTGGGTTCAGGCAATTCTCCTGCCTCAGCCTCCTGAGTAGCTGGGATTACAGGCACGCGCCAACATGCCCAGCTAATTTTTTGTATTTTTAGTAGAGACGGGGTTTCACCATGTTGACCAGGATGGTCTTGATCTCTTGACCTCGTGATCCACCCGCCTCAGCCTCCCAAAGTGCTGGGATTACAGGCTTGAGCCACCGCACCCGGCCAATCTGACACTTTCAAATAAAGTAATGACTAGAACAAGTATTTGTAGTGAAGGAAGATCAATAACTGGCATAAAAATCTCCTACAAATCAGTGACCATAGGACATGAACAGCCATTCCAGATAAGAAAATATACAACCTGGAAAAGGCTCAAGTGTGCCAATCCCAAAACAAATAAAAAACGCTACCCACTAACCAGTTAGTAAAGATTATCCTGTAATGACCAGGTATGAGGAAATGTGCACTTTCATGCATTGCTGATGATGTATCAATTAATACAATCCTTTTTCCCTGGAATTTCTCTGGGCCATAAAGTGGCTTCTGCTGTGCTATCCCATGTCAGGTGTGAGGAGATAGTGGTACGACTCATCCCTTCTCTGGAGGAAGATGACAGCACACTGGGCTTGGCATGTACCAGGCAGCCCTGAGGCATCCCTGAGGGAGAGGGGGCATTCCCAGAAAACAAACTGGGAAATCTCTGGCCACCAACGGCCACGCATATATATATATTATACAAAGGGGCTGGTGACGGAGTCTGGAGTGTCTTATCTAGGACTTGGACATGCCCTGGGGTGGGGGAAACTTTTGGGTGGTTAGTAGTGTGTATTAGGGTTCTCTAGAGGGACAGAACTAATAGAGTATACACACACACACGCACACACACACACACATATATATCAGAGTTTATTATTATTATTATTAGACACAGAGTTTCACTCTTGTTGCCCAGGCTGGAGTGCAATGACATGGTCTCAGCTCACCACAACCTCTGCCTCCCAGATTCAAGTGATTCTTTTGCCTCAGCCTCCCGAGTAGCTGGGATTACAGGCATGCGCCACCATGCCCAGCTAATTTGTTGTATTTTTAGTAGAGACAGGGTTTCTCCATGTTGGTCAGACTGGTCTTGAAATCCCAACCTCAGATCATCTGCCTGCCTCGGCTTCCCAAAGTGCCAGGATTACAGGCGTGAGCCACCGCGCACAGCCTAAGAGGAGTTTATTATTAAGTATTAATTTACACGATCACAAGTTCCAACAATAGCTGTCTGCATGCTTGAGGAGCAAGGAGAACCAGTCTGAGTCTCAAAGCTGAAGAACTTGAAAGTCCAGTGTTCAAGGGCAGTAAGCATCCAGCACAGGAGAAAGATGTAGGCTGGGAGGCTAGGTCAGTCTCCTTTTCACGTTTTTCTGCCTGCCTTGTATTCACTGGCAGCTGGTTAGATGGTGCCCACTAGATGAAAGGTGGGTCTGCCTTCCAAATTCCACTGACTCAAATGTTAATCTCCTTTGGCAATACCCTCATGGACACATCCAGGATCAATACTTTGCCCCTTCAATCCAATCAAGTTGATACTCAGTATTAACCATCACAAGTCCATCCCTTGTCAACTTGAACCCATACACATCTTCTGAGGTCATACATAATCTTCAAATAAAAACTAATAAGGTCATAATTATGCCTAACATAATACAAATAGCCTTTGTACAACTGGAAACACATCAATCCCCAAACCAAATACTATTACATAAAGTTAACAATATTTAAATGCTTGAAGTCAATAAATTTATGTCACATGATAAAGGAAAAGGAAATAAAATGAAGATATTTTCTTTTTCTTTTTTTTTTTTTTTTTGAGATGGAGTTTCGCTGTAGTTACCCAGGCTGGAGTGCAATGGTGCGATCTCGGCTCACCGCAACCTCCGCCTCCT